GTTGGTCTGTGTTCTGTCGGAGCTGCCTGCGACGCGCTGATGAGATCCAAAAAGATCGAAATCGCGATCCGCGTCTGGCAGTTCCGACAGAATACGGACCACTTCGAATTATTTTATGAAACTCAATTGTTGATAAATAAATATTTCGACACATACCTTCACTAAATTGTTTAAATAAGCTGCCTTATGTCCTAATGGATCGGTCGACAACCCATCTGCAAAAGACACAAGACCGTGCGGAAAATTATGCTGAGACAACCATGACACAACCCTCTGCTGTTGCATGTCGGGTCTTCCGGTGATGTAGACGATCAAATAGCCCAACTCCTGCCAATGCCTTGACGGAAACGTGTTACATGCAAACAATTAGATGATACAAGAAAATTGTTTCAAAGAAGAAGTCGTCTATTACCTCACAACGTCCACTGCTCCAGCTCGCACCTTCGGGTCTCTTCCGGTCACTGAAACGCTAGCCGTAAAAGACCCGTCTATACTAAACACTACACACTCGGTTTTCGGTGGTACCACCGCGAGAAAGAAGTCGACCGATGTATGGTCTCCTCTAACAACCATCTGAAACATTTATTTTGGTGTTACACGTTGATCACTTCAACTAAATACTCGTCATACTTTGACTGGATAGAGTCCATATCCTAGTGATTTGTCGTCAGGAATGGTGTACGTTATTCTTCCTGTTTTGTCGGTGACCTCGGTGGCTATATGAGACCATTCTCCAGCCGGAGCGTCCTTCATGATGTGAATGTCCACCTTTTCCCCTGTGAGCGTTATCATGTCCAAAGGTCCGTACATGAAACGGGCTGTTAATGTTTGGGAAGCACCCTCTTTCACTATCACATCGTTCGCCCTGTGATTTGCAGCAACGTTCTGCAAAATAGAAGTGTCACGTTACCAATATGCACTCCAAATAGATGAAAGCTTTACTTTGAGTTTAACTGATGTTCTCTTCCTCATCCATTTCTCGCGGGGTTGTCCCGGTTTGAAACATTGTTCCCTGTCGTCCATTCCGGCCAACTGGGTCAATTCCTGCTTGGCAACTTGCCTGAGTATGAACGCTATGACGTCGCTGCTTTCCCAGTAACTGGCGTGGAACAGATGGGGCAAGGCGTTGGTGGGAAAATTGGACAAACCTTCTGGACAATAGAGGGCATAGTCCAGTCTTTTGTTGCCCCACCATTTCTGCTGTACTGTTGGACAAAGGAGGACTTTTCGATGATCCTGGTGGATTTCAAACAAGAAACAGGTACTTACAAGAACTAATTGTTTGCAGTGATATGTTTTCTATAACTCCTGAAACTGTACTTTGAATGGAAACCTCCGATAGACGCCTCGATGGTTGCGAGGAATCGTTGAAGAGATGCGGATTTGATTGTAAGAATTCGACTGGAATTTGTCGGATTGTAATTGGGAAGTGTTGTTGGTTTAGTGATTTACTTACGCAAATGATGGGGTTGACCATCGCCCAGCGGGTATTTGGCATACCTGGCCACGTTGACTGGAGGAAGCATGGAAAACCTTGCTGATAGTAGTGGCTCCAAACGGGAAGCCACTGGATCAGTTGGGTGGAACAGATTGTACATTTGGTGACAAGCGGGACGAATTATATGAGCTACAAAAAGATAGTTCATTCAGAATAGTTGACTTTGGGATACTTTGACTTACAGTTTTTCTCATCGGTGACCGACATTCGTCGATAGGCTAGAACAAGGGCAAGGGGACTTCCAAACATGAAGCATTCGGAAACGTCGAAGTCCAGTTTCATCTGATTTGGATTCTCGCTTGTCGACGATGATCTTCGTCGTGGAGGTGGTGCAACCAGGTGTCCTGTTTCGTTAACGATAACCTCGTCTGTGAATATTATTGTTAAATGGTCACGTATGAGTATCATATAAATGTCGGTTTTGGCTTACTAGCAATCACGTCTTGATCCACGATACTGTTCTCACTGCCATGACGTGATTGGTATTTGTTGGCACGACACATTACGTCGTACGCTAAAATTGAACCCACGGAATCGGAAACTATAACGATTTGACCAGAAAAATTTAAACCTTCTTCCGACTTAAGGAATTCTGTAAAGAAGAATGCCTAAATTTTGTGATTTCTTTGGGATTCTGTTGTAGAAGTATCTACAATAACTGCATGTTTCTTTGAGTGCTTTCCAAACCAGAAATGTTCATGGAATTGAGTACCTAGTAAAGCTACCTAAACTATTTCACTAAAGAAGGCTTTCTTTTTATTTAATATCTATTGAAGTACTGGTATATAAGGTAAGAAGAAGTAGAGAAAGAGCGAATATAAAGATAGGAGACGAAAAATTAGAAGAAGTGGCTCATTTTAGGTATCTAGAAAGTCAGATAAGTCAGGACGAAAGGAGTAGTAGGGATATAACGTAAATGATAGCGCAGGGTCGAGTCGCCTTCAATAAAAAGAAGCCACTTCTATGCTCGCGAACGATTAATTTATAAGTTAAAAAAAGATTGTTAAAGGTGTATGTTGCGAGCGCAGCGCTGTACGGGTGCGAAACATGGACGGTGGGCGCGGCGGAAAAGAAAAGTTTAGAAGCCTTTGAAATATGGTGTATGATGAGGATAGCGTGGATAGAGAAGCTTAGAAATGAAAAAGTATTAGAGAGAATAGGAGAACAGACTCAAAGGGAAGTCAATAAAATATAGGCGAGACAGGCTTGAAGGTCTAGTCGGGGACATATCACAGGCAGAAACAGGAGTTAAGAGGAATATAGGTAGACTTAGATTAGATTACTGTTCATAAATAGTTAAGGTTGTGGGATGTTCTAGTTTCAGGGAAATGCAAAGATTAGCTCAGAGTAGGAAGGAGTGGGGGTGCCTGTCCAACCAGTCTTAGGACTGATGATGATCTACTGAATAATGCCCAAGTGGTGTTTATTTGAGGAATTCCCAAAAAAGAAAGTGTTTCATAACAATGAAGCTATCTAAATATTATTTCATTAAGGAAAAAACTGGTCTAGATATTGTTTTTTGGGAATTCTACAATAAAAAATGCCGATGTGGTTTTTATTGGAGAATTCCCAAAGAAAAAGTTCCTTTAAAATTAATTAACTAAATATTATTTCTTAAAGGAAGAAATATACTCAAATATTTCTTTTGGGAATTCCACAGTGAAAAGTATGCATCTTTGAGGAATTCCCAAAGAAGCAAAGTTTCTTTGGGAAATTCCGTAAGAAAAGAATCTAAACATTATTTTCTTTCCGAAGAAAGATGTTCGAATATATTTGTTATTATGATTCTGTAAATAAAAAAGGCGTAAGTGTCGTTTCTTCCAGCAATTTTCTAAAGAATAATTATTCCTTGTTGTTACCGTTAGGAATTTATTAAAGCAAACCGTTCAAACGTTGTTCTTTTAAAGAATTTCGTAAAGAAAAAGTCCATCAAAGATAAAAAGCGCTAAGGGTACCTTGGTATACATTATTTGCTTTTATGATTGTCTTCGTTACTGCGTCTTGATACTCTAGGGTCGCTGTAGCTAACAAAGGGATGGCGCCGATGGGGACCGAATCGTGCGTTATTTGAGGAGTGTCTGTGCATGAAGGAGAAACGTCGAAACTGTACGGACTAAGACTAAAACAGAAAAAAGGAAAAAGTCGAAAAGTTCAGGGAGTGTAATGGACATTTGTACCTGGACAATACGCTTAATCCTTCTGTACAAATGGAAGGACAAGAGACCAGCCGTATTGAGAAGTGTCCCACCAAAGTGGGATAGTGTTGTCTTACGACCGATTCAAATGCCCCTTTGAAGGTGGTCACATCTGATTTTTTTGTTGTCATGTCCACATTAGCATCTACAAACAAAAATTATTAGGAACGAGTAGGAGAAGGTGGGACAATTGAGAACTACTCCATCTGGTTTTATAAAAAAAATTATTAGTGGTTAAATTTGTATGTATTTTTTTTGTTCCCAGTTGTCCCACTTTATCCCAGTTTCCTTTAAAATTACCTAGAACACTTCCTGCATGTAGTACAAGTAATAATACGGTGGTGCTACAGGAACTTTGACCAGTAGTTACAGGAGAATCGGGACATATATCCAAGGAACCTTTGCCCTTGTTCAGGAAACTTCGATTGTTTCGTTCGCTAGCCACCCTCTGGAGATACGTGGGTGAAAATATGCTATCATCTAAACAACAAAGATGGTAAATCTTTTTCAAAAAAATTAAATTCATATTGGCAACGTTATAAGGAAAAAGGCAACCATTTTTTGTACTCGAGATAGAATGTGCACAGTTCTTTGAAGTCCTGAAGGGGTTTCAATAAGGAAACGAAACGTTGGTTGTAAAAATGTATGTGTTTGAAGCCCTTTTTCCCAACAACTTCATAATAATGGATTATAGCGTATTAAAATATAAATAATTGTACCTTGTTCATTTAAAACTACAGTTGGAGACGCATTGTCGCCATCTTCTTCAGTTAATAAATCCAAAGAACTCCATTTGGCAAGTGACACGTCGGCCATATTTTCTTTTGGAAAGTTAGAAAGATAAAAAGATATTTTTCTTTCGAAATTCATACACAATAAAAATAAACAAAAACCAAACTGAAGAATGGATGTACTTTATTGTTACTTTACTATTAATATTATATGAAACATTTTAAAATTCAATAGTGGTTAATATCAAAGGTAAACGTGAAAATTCATCTTAAATTTTTATCCATTATAGCAACAATTTTTCTTCATTAACTTGAGGTAATTTTAATGGATAACAATTAAAGATGAATTTTTATATTAATATTTACTTCACTATTGTTTGTTATATTGTTACTAGGTATGGCAAATGATTAATTTCTCTATAATTAAAGCAATTTTTGGAAAATCTAGCTTAGCTTACAAGTATGTAGTATAGTGTGAATCAATTTTAATACAATTTGGAGGTAATTAATACAGGATACATACTAATTGATAGTGTGTATAAACAATTTAAAATGATCAAAGGTAATATTTACGAAATGAATGGGATGTAATATTCAAAATAGCCAAAGAGGTCTAATAAGTACTTAATGTATTAGAGATACATACTCTTTTTGTATTTTTTACTGTGTCTCCGAATCGCGTCTGTAATAATTAAAAAAAAAGGTCAAAACTTTTTTCAAGATATTGTAATCTGAAAAATAGTCGTAAATGCTTTATTTTCATTTTGAATTTTTACTCTGCAATGTTCTCGTTTAAATTAGATATTATTTTTCTCCAGTTATGTAACTATGGGCGCAGGGGTGGCTGCAGAACTGTAGAATTGCCTAAAATTTGCAATCTAACTACTAAAATTTATGAAAATAAGACCAAATTAAGATATCCATTACACTATTGAACTGGGCCGCAGGAGGTAGTTCTGCGAACTACTTCAAAGATTACACGTTATTGTTTTCTAGTACAGTAATTATAGGCGCAGCATTGGCTGTCAAACCATAAGACAGTCCAAAATTTGTAATCTAACTACTAAAATTTACTAAAATAATTCCAAAATAATTCCCTGGGTCTCTGACCGAGCACATCGCGATATCCATTACACTGTTGAACTGGGCCGCACGAGGTAGTTCTGCGAACTATTTCGAAAATTAGCAATTATTTTTTTCTAATACAGCAATCTTACAATCTAACTATTAAATTTTATAAAAATAAGACCAAATTAATTCTGTTGATAATCATAATATCCTGTACGTTACCGAACTGGGCCGCATGAGACAGTTCTGTACACTGCTTTCGAAAATCTTATCTATCTATCTATCCCTTTTTGTCCACATTTGGTAGCAAAAAACTGCGAATTTAGTTTGACCAATGGGCTGCATTCAACCCAACCAATTGGGGTGTTATTATGTTTATTTATCTTACCTTGACAGTCGAAGAATTCTTCATCGGAAGCCGAATCTGAATCGCGACCAAGACTTTCTATCCTCCAGTTGGCCACTTGCAGATCAAAACTTTTGAGAGATGACGATCCAGGGGAATGCAAATTCCTCTGTTGCCACTTCTCATCATCCCTAATATAGAACATTGGAAGTTACCAAACTGTTTCTGCCGTTGTTATTATTCGATTAAAACATATTCGCGTATAAAAGTGTTCATTTTGTACTTTTACCTATGGAAAGACAGTCCCATGTCGTTGGCAGTTTCTTCAGATGACAATTCAGCATCCGAAACTGTTTCAGTTTGAACAATTGGGACAGAGTTTGAACTTTTGTTGGTGACCAGAGGCGTCGAATTTTCTTCGTTCTTCTCTATACTAACGAAATTTGCTGCTATCGTCTTATTTGTCGATGAATCTTGAGAAAATGAATTTGTTCCACTTTCTTCATCATCTAAAACAAAAGAATTATGTCGAATGTTGTGTTGTGACATTCAATTAAGATGGCGGCCTTTTCGATATTCGCGTTTAAATTCATATTTTCAAAGGTCATCATGGGTCACATACATTACTACATCTCGTTCGACATTCTACGTACGTGTTTTGAAACAGGTAACTTACCCATTAGGTCTTCTCCGTTTGCTTGTGCCATTTTCCGTTTGAGAGCCAACTGAGTTTGTCTCTCAATTTCCCGAATGTCCTCCATTGTTAAACCGTGCCATTCGTCTTGCCAAGCCCAGGCTTGTCTATGGGCCCGAAGCATCGTTTTCCTTAAAGCTAACAGTTATACCTTTAAATGCCAAATGCATACCAGAAATGTTTCTTGAAACGATGGGGCCATTTTAATGAGCATCAAAACCGTAATCGTTCAAAAATTTATATAGACTATCGACGCTAAGATAAAACTGTTTTCGATTAAATGGAAACGTCAACTAAGGTCGAATAAAGACCTTCCCGTAACTCGTGAAATAAAAAACAGATTGTAAGGGTCATATTTATTACAGATCCCTGAGGAACGAATTACATTAATTATAAGAGTGCCTACGTAAGTTAGAATTAATGAGCCAAGATAATTTTAATTGCAACTGTTACTTTTTGTAAATTATACATCTAGATATTAAATAACACAGGGCCTTGTAATGTTCCCTGCGGAACACCAGCGTAACTCGTGACGTACAAAATTATAAATGTTCACCTTACCTACGTCATGTATAAATTTTTCTATCTTCGTCTGCATCCCCCAGTATCGAAATTCGACCCTACATAGTTTGTAGGCACACATTAGGGCCTTGCCATTGGCAAGGGGTTGCGTTTTACCCTGTACCTAAAACGTCGTTTGATAAATAAATAATTTAACAAGTAGATTGGGTAACTAACGAATTGTTTTACCTCTTTCCAATATTCTTCTAACCAGTTGTCGTTTAGGGGTCCCATTCCCGATTTTTCCGAGTGGAACACCTTGGGGTCTTCTTCTTTCACGTAATCGGCCCCATATAGTTGGTCTTTAACGAAATCTATTAAATCTAAAAGGGGGTAAATGTAATTAGAATCTGTGCTAATTTATGCAGTTTTGTTATTTTTTACCGACTACCCTATTTCGTAAATCTGACCCCGACAAGTTGAAGACATTATCTTGGTGACCATTGTCACCAAAATAATAAGTCTCTATTTCTAAATAAAATTTTTCTACGAAGGGGCAGGTGTATCGGGTTTTTGTGTATGGATATGCGTTCCATGCTTCTTCGTTAACCATAAGGGCTGTTTTGGGTAGAATGCCCTTTAACCATCCTAAAATTTACGTAAAATAAATACGTTAGAAACTATTATTTTGCATTAATGTTACTATTCATTATTTGTACAACATATTATTTAATAAATAATAATTCAAATGCTTTAAATAAATATTTTGAATTGTAAATTGGTCTTTTTCAACTAGTTTTCGAATGTTATAAAACCGGTTGTTAAAATCAAAAATATTTACCTGGTAAATGACTGCCTACATGGTAGACTTTTTGGGTGTATTGACCCTGCCCCCCTGGTCCATCAGTATATGGTTCATTTATTAAAATTTCTACTCCACTACCAGCGCCACTGCTTTCATTTCTACTTTTTTTCTTAAATTAAAAAATTGCCGAAATCAAAAGAAATGGTAATTTTGTTTAAAAAAAAGTTTATGAAATGATTTAAAAATACGTACATATATATAAGTGAAAACTTACTGCTATCATATACAGCTGAGCTATTCTGTATTCTTCAACTGTCAGGGGCAAGGGTATTCTGTATTCTTTTATAAGCATGGTCACCCTTCAAAAGCTCTATTCTTGGAATAATACCATGATGTTAAACAACTTTGGCTACCTGCACTAACCGGGTAGGTCCATATCTTGTTAGAAAATTTCAAACTACAAACTACAAAAGAAAGAGAGGTAAAAGTAGTAGTAGTAATAGGTATTATTTGTAATACTGTGTAGTTTTTTTTTGAAAAATATTTTCAAATATACCTACTACATGGGTAAATTTTATCGTAGCTGTTTTAGGATGAATTGTTGCAGTAACATCTTTATGCATTGTTTACAATTTACAAAGTTTAACAATTATTATTACATCGAGCTTAAAACCATTAAGATTCATTTAGTATTCTAATAATAATCATCGTAAAAGTGGCTAGATGCACAGAAAAATGAAAGCTCTGAGGACGGATGGAAGAATAGAAACTAATAAATCGTGTAATCTTATTTTTCATAATACTTTAATACTTTTCGGCCAATTTTGTTCTCGTCTCGTACCTTGTAGATATATGTGTGATTCTTTACGAAAAATTCGACTACATTAATTTATAATCGTGTTTGTTGAAGGATGCTATTGTGGATCTGCTTGAAAGAAATAAATTGACTTTGTTTTAAGGATTCATCAGTAAAATTATGTAGGTAATCAATAGAGTAAGCACTCATAAACTTTTTGACCTTTACACAAGAAACCAATAAACACCAAACACTGTAACATACAGGGCTTCATTATCTTCAAGAATTCTATAGGTCTATGTGTATACGTAGCTATTAACTCACAATTTAATTAGTTTTGAATTAATTGGAAAAAAAGAAACTGCGTCTAAAACTACGAAATAATAAAACATTATAAACATCAATGTATCAAACTTTCGTTAAATAACTAAAGTGATAATTTGTTTTTTAATGGCAAACAATTTCAAGGTTGACAACGTAATTAAAATAAGTTGAATGCAAAAACCATAAAGTTAATCTCTTACACATGCAGTACCTACATGTAATTTTTTCTACACTTTATAAATTGTTTACAATAAATTTTTAACAGATTGCTTTATGTTTAAAATGATTGAAGTACTCCATATAGCCTACGACAGTTATTAACGTGAAGTATAATAAATCTTTTTTTGTTCTATT